CTTCTTTCTAATCTCTAGACAGAAAAATTATTACTGTAACCTTCTAAAAAAATCTATTTAGGGTTTTTTTGGGTGTACTTTTTCACTTATGTATTACTTTTCCTTATTTTCTTTAATTTTTTCTCTCAAAATTTGTATTGAAATAATACAAATTATTTATAAATTTCTTTTTAAAATTATTTAATAACATGTCTGTGTTATATACTGTATTATTTACACACACACAGAGAGAGAGGGAGAGAGGGGGGGGAGACTCTTATTATCTAGAAATAATAGTAAACCTGACACAGAATCCTACAGTTGGAAGAGATACTGAATACTGATACTTTTAGGATACTGAATCCAACTTCTGCTCAGTATGATTCCATGTGAAATAATCCCTAGTAAATAGCCTTCTAGAACACAAAAGAAAACCCACCACATTTTTGGTAATCTGTGCCATTATCAAATTGCTCTTTTAATTTAATTTTTTCCCCCTAACATACAAACATGGCTATCCTCCTTTAATCTAAATTCATTTTTTATATATCTTGTTCTCTGGGATGTTAAAAAAAACTTATTTTGGTTTCTCCCTCCTTCCTTTTTTTCTCTAGGACATTACAAACTCAACCTTAGTTTGCAACCAATTAATATTACTCCAAATTCATATAAGTAGTATCATTACTAGGACAGATATTCCCCATTCTATTCCTGTGTGTTTGATTTTGTGAAAAAACTAAGCACACTTTTCTATGAAATTTGTTATTTTTAATACATTTAATACACAAAGGAAAAGCTGGCGAGACCTCTTTGGGTATGATCTTGTATCCACTTAGTTGTCATGCTGTGTATTCACTCAGCTGTCATGCTAGCCAACATACAGTTAAGTAGTTTGCTTATCAGAATATCATGCTGTACTTTGTCAATGCTTTGCTGAAATCAAGATATATCACATTTACTGCATTCTCACTATCTACTAAAGGAGTTTCCTGATAAAAATAAATGAGATACATTTAGCCTGAAGAGCATTTGCTTTGAAAAATTATGCTTACTTCCAGTAATTGTGATATTATTGATTATAAATCAATGTTTATAATGTTCTAGATTCTTTCCAGATTTATAACTCCCCAAATCTTCTTTTTCTCTATTTTTGAAGATACTGATATTTGATCTGACCTGGTTATATGGCATTTTATTAGTTCTCCAAGATTTTTCAGAGATAATACATAAAGTCTCAGTCAATTCATAATCACATTCCTTCAGTAGAGTAGGATGCAATTCATCTTGCCCTGGTCATTTAAATTCATTTAAAGACACTATATATTACCTAATCATATATCTATAAATTGAACTTGTATCTTACAGACTTCAGTGGGGTCTTATAAATTGGACTTCCAGATTACTCTTGTAAAAAGGAATTCTCTTGCTGATTGTATAATGTAGTACATTATACAAAATTATATTTGGGTTTTAGATTTTGGAATATATTATATTGTTTCAAGAGTTTTCATCATCAGTTAGCCAATAATGTAACCAGAGTGGTATTAACTTATAAGAACTTTCTGATTTAATACCTGTATTACATCCTAAGGCAGAGTTGAGCAAATGCCAACACTTTAGAAAGGAACACAGGTTCCATGCCAATTTGATTTTTTTTAGGATTAAAAACTATACAGTGAATATAATAACTTGGAGTGGTATAAACAACTTTACTAAGCTGTGTTGATCTTGCACGTACATAAATTGTTTAATATCAATCCACTTTGCTTCATAATGCCTCTGAAGCCACAGAACAGGCATAGAGGCATTAGAAAAATCAAGTAGATGTAGGTTGATGTTATCAACAACATCTTAATGGTTACCATGCTTGGAAACCAAAAATCATCTGAAATCTAGACCTACACTGCAAAAGAATGGTTCTGCTTTTTTGTTTTATGGGGGAAAGGGGGCTAAATATAATTATCTTTGACGAAGAAAGGGAAAAAAAGACATTCTCAGTGGAAGTAAGCTTTGTGTTTGTGTGTATGTTCTATTTTTAGGACATTTCTAAACAAGCATGTGGGATCATTTCAGTGTTGATATGGGAAAAAAAGTATAGAGGGCAGTAGTCCCCAAAATTTGTGCCAAAGAGTAAAACAATCTTTCAGAAGTAAAAGCATTCCTGGATCAGTTTTTGTTTGACATCTCTTGATATACTGCTTAGAATTCTATGCTTAGATAGAAATGTAAAATAAGCAAGTTACGATTCTGTTGGAAAATAGTAATATCCATTCTATTAGAGCCAGAATCAATGCTTGGCATTAATGGGCTTCTCCTGATTTTATTGCCTATCCTTTTTGCTGGTGTCACCATAAGTCAGTGGGGAGTTACAGGATCCAATCTCTGAAGATCTTTATCTATTTATTTATTTATTGACTAATCAAATTTCTATAGCTTCACATCTCACCAAAGGCAATTCTATGATGTACTATTAAGACAAGCAAGTAGGACAGAAGATACAGCAACAGAAGATTCATTACAGGTAATCCTCACTTAATGACTAGTCACTTAGTGGCTGTTCGAAGTTATGATGGAACCCAAAAAAGGTACTTACAATCCAGATTCAAAGTTCTGCAGTCTCCCACAGTTACGTCATCTTGGGCGTTCGGCACTCAATCTGCATTTATGGTGGTTTACAGCATCCCATGGTAATGTGAGCATGATTTACAATATTTGCTTTGTGCTGGAAACCAGAGTTTACTTCCAGTTTCTGGCAATAATCCATTAATTATCCAATTTATTGTCAAGTGAAAACTATGGTTCACTCAACTAGCTTTCTTATGGCCATCTTTTGTGACTAGTTTTCACTGGAGAATAAATTGGATCATGTGAGCATGATTCTCTTGCTCAATCTGCACCAGAAATCATTCACATAAAAGTTCAGTGAGAATACAGAAATGTACATCCAAATGAATATCTGTGGTCAAATATTAGCTTTAGTTTAAGCCTATTATTGTAAAAGAGGAAATACCAAGGAGAATGATAAAAGAAGCAAAACAAGCTTCGTTAACTAGATTTAGGGCTTCCCAAAAGGGATCTTTGTTATCACCTGTGGTTTGCACATTTTCACATATACAAGATGTTTGGCATAAAGATGTAGTCCTATTTTTGTCTCAAAGGGGTCAGGTTGTAGGTAATAGGAAGAATCTCTGCTGATGAAACTGGACAGGCACACTGTTCCTCAAAGCAGAAATGGTGGTCCCAGGGGAGAAATCATCTGATCTGTTACAACACAACTGCCTATGTTTCCTAGCTGTTCACAGATTCCAGACCCTCTAGCAACCTCCCTTCTTCAAAGCCCAGGAGCATGCCTAAAACATAATGATTCCACCATCCTAATAACTCTACATCTATTGATGCGCATATGTTTCAAAAAGAAACTCAGTGGTGAAGGGTCATTTTTTTCCACTTGTCAAATTCTTTAGTTGCTTCAATCCAAAATGCAATTGGACTGTGAAGATGAGCTCAAGGCTTGTGTTCCTATAGTCAAAAGACTCAATAAAATACAGATAGTCCTTGCCGGTGACTTATACATCAGTTCTTTTATCAGGTTGAGGCATTTATCCCATGACCAACATCATTTCTTCCATTATAAGGCTTTTACGATTCACAGTTATACTGTAAGTTCAGTGACTTCAGTCATCTATATTCTGCAAAGTATATTCTAGAAACAAGATGCTTTTTTTAAAGTACAAAGAGCTTCAGGTTGCTAGATTTTATTTTCATATACTATTCTTGGATTGACTGACATAATCTCATACTAGATTCAAAATGTCTGAGAAAGAGATAGGCAAGGAAAAAAGAATAAATTATACAACTGGTTGGATAACCACAAAGGTATTCCCAATGCAAATGACTTGGCATACAAAATTAATTTATTTGTAGAGTTCCCATAGATGATACCAGGCTTATATTAATACCAATACTTACCAATAGAAAAACATAGCTTTGAATTCCAGTTGGCTTATAACTGATTTAACACAATCATTAGAGAAACAACTATTTGGTGAAAAAGAATATTAAAAAATGACTAAATGAAAACAGGCCTGGTAGATTGCCTAGAACAGACCAATAGACTTGACCAATAGCTGAAGTTAAAAATTTAAGATTTCTACCAATGAAGATTCACTAGGACTACTATTCCAGAGGCTGACTGAACCTCTTGTTAAATAAAATACTACCAAACTATTGCAATCTGCAAATGTGAAAAGTTTCCCCATGTGGCATACAAGGTATCCTATTTGTTTCACCACCCCCATTTCACAACAAAGAAAAATCCCAATTAGAGCTAACTGAATCAATTTTGAATTCCTAAAATATTGACCATATAGTGGTTCAATGTTCAGCATGTATTATGCCACCAACAAATGCCCACTCAGCTTTGAAAGCCTTTGTAAGTCATCATCTCATTGCTCATATCAATATCGGATTACATTCACATGACTGGACTCTCCCCTCTTTTAAATTTTTAGAGTGAGATTGCCCTGAAGATTTTAGGACAACTCAAAGAATTTTTTTAAAAAAGAATTTGGACCTCCTTCCAGGGGGTTTGATGCAAATCTTGTCTATTACCACTGACACCCTCACCTCTCCCTCCCAATTCTCAAGCCCTCAGGACTTGCTGTAGCCTCACAAACTGAACTCAATACATCACTTTATTTGCCAGCATGGAAAAAGCAGGGCAGGAAGCCATGCTAGGTTGACAGCAGGAAGACTCTTGTTCCTCAGCAGGATAGGTTCTTAGGTTGCCACCTGTAAACCTTAGATTGACAAGAACAACCCAGCATTTTCTATGGGTGGGAAAAAGGCAGCAATACAATTCTTCTTCAACCATGCAACTTCCCACCCCAACATGGCTGTGCTTCTTGTGAGATGCTTCAAGCAGCTGCAGAATAGGTTTGCAGTAAAACCAAGCTGACGATCTGTCTTCACTGCAATCTCAGTCTAGCTAATATTAATTAGTCACCTTAGTGGCGACAAACCATCTGCTCAGCTCCTCCAGTAGTATATATGAGTATTTGCTGTCTGTTTTCACTGTTCTTGAACCATATTCAGGCACTAGTAACATAGCGACAATCTGAGCCATGCTAAAAATACTAATGCACTTGCTAAAATAAAACAAGCTGGAACATGGAGTATTGCAGACTCCATAATATAGAGCAACAGCATTTAAAGAGGCATCCAAATATGGCTTCAGGCAATGCTGCATATTAGAAATCAATGGTTATATCTAGAAATAAACCCACACACACAGACATACACACACACATATACATTCCCTCATACATATAGATATCTCTGTGTATTTTTATATGTATCTATAGAGATGCATTTAAATGCAGGAACATTCAAGATTGTATTGTATTGAACATTTATTGTAGCTTTACCCTGTAAATGACTGCTGAATGTGTAAGTGTACAGCAGTAATCTTTGCTACATACTTGCATGGCTTGCCCTGCTGCATGATGCTCAGCCGCATACATCAGAGCCACCACACTAGGTAGCTGCTCCAGCAGTTCTCCAGGTGCTCACAGTAAAATGCAGAAACACACCCACTGCAAAAAAATCCTTAATAAACAGCATTTGAATGCACAAGTCCCCCAAACAAAGCTATATATATTATATGTATGCATGTATGTATGCATGTATGTATGTATGTATGTGGTATGTGTGTATGTGGTATGTGTGTATATGTGTATATATATATATATATATATATGTAGGTGTGTGTATACACACACACACACACACACACATGCCAGCATTATTGAAAGATTTGAGCTCCTATAAATAAAGCTAAATCAAGAGAATATTTAGGAATAGCCAGTCCTGTTTTCTACAGTTAGAAAAAATATCATTCCATCCATAGTTTCTGGGTCCATCAGAAATACAATTATATTCCCCATCGCAACCTGCATTTTCCGTAACCATGCACACATGCTGAACAGAACTGCAGATGATGATTCAGCCTCTCCACCCATGCTCTCCCCATGCTAGCACCATTTTGCTGACCTGTGTGTCAAAGCCATTCTCAATGGAGCTACTCTTCTTCCGAAGGAAGCCATCGCCCGCATTATCTTGACCGTTCTGGGATTTGAGAGGGATCTGGCTGGCATAGGATGACTTGTTCACCTCCACCTTGTTCCCAAACTTCAGGTAACAGGGCTGTGGGACGGTTCTCGCAGCTGGAATGTGAACAATGGGACTAGCAGTATGGACAGGTTTAGGTAGTCCGGATTTCATTTTGGAGGCTACCAGGATGGCTGGCATTTTTTCTCCTTCTGCTTTGTCAAGGCGTCTCTGTCACAACAGCAGCAAGCAAGGAAGAGGATGAAGATAGGTTTTACAATCTGGCAGGATAGCTTCCCCCCCCCCCCCCCCCCCCCCCCCCCCCCCC